TGCTTGCTGAAAGGGGAGAATTTGAAGCCCTTGGTGATGAGGCTCAAGGATTGCAGCCTACAGTTTGTATTACAACATAATGTGAAGAAAACCCAAATCCTCGACAAAATAATAACAATTTATGAATTATCAAGGGTTCAAGAGGGAGAGGGGAGCAGGGAGGGAGGGGGAAAATGAGGAGATGATTTCGTCATGCTCATGGAAGGAGCAGTCAAGAGAGCAAAGGATGGATTGCATTGGGGAACTCTGCTGCACGGACCTCTTTAAAGTGTTGAAGAGCGAGGTTATTACTTGAGATCTCAGTTCTCCACACTTTGTTTATATTAATATTTTTAATCATTTTATTGGGGGCTCATACAACTCATCACAATCCATACATACATCCATTGTGTAAAGCACATTTGTACATTCATTGTCCTCATCATTCTCAAAACATTTGTTCTCCACTTAAGCCCCTGGCATCAGGTCCTCATTCCCGCCCCCACCCCCATCCCTCCCCACTCCCTCCTACCGCGTGAACCTTTGATAATTTATAAATTATTATGTTGTCATATCTTACACTGTTCGACATTTCCCATTACCCACTTTTCTGTTGTCTGTCCCCCAGAGAAGTTAAATGTAGATCTCTGTAATCAGTTCCCCCTTTCAACCCCACCCTCCTGGTATCACCACTCTCACCACTGGTCCTGAAGGAATCATACGCCCTGGATTCCCTGTGTTTCCAGTTCCTATCTGTACCAGTGTACATCCTCTGGTCTAGCCAAATTTGTAAGTAGAATTGGGGTCATGATAGTGGGGTGTGTGTGGGGGGAGGAAGCATTAAGGACCTAAAGGAAAGTTGTATGTTTCATCGTTGTCACACTGCACTCTGACTGTCTTGTCTCCTCCCCGTGACCATTCTGTAAGGGTTTGTCCAGTTGCCCACAGATGGGCTTTAGGTCCCCACTCTGCACTCCCGCTCATTCACAATGATATGATTTTTTTTTCTTTGATACCTGATACCTGATCCCCTCGACACCTCGTGATCACACAGGCTGGTGTGCTTCTTCCATGTGGGTTTTGTTGCTTCTGAGCTAGATGGCCGCTTGTTTACCTTCAAGCCTTTAGGACCCCAGACGCTATATCTTTTGATAGTCGGGCACCATCAGCTTTCTTCACCACATTTGCTTATTCACCCACTTTGTCTTCAGCGACTGTGTCGGGAAGGTGAGCATCATGGAATGCCAGTTTAATAGAACACAGTATTTTTGCATTGAGCGAGGACTTGAGACGCCACCGATATTTTATTGGAAAAATTGAACACTTCCTTCAGAGGTAGGACTCAAGTTTTCTCCAGAAGTTTTTTCTTAGAGTATTTCTGACTCTACAACTCAAGCTCATTGAGCCAATACGACAGGGTAGAACTTCCCCTGTGGGTTTCTGAGACTGTAACTCTTTCCAGGAGTAGAAAAGCTCATCTTTCTCTCATCGGGTGGCTGGTGGTTTCAAACTACAGACCTTTTGGATCACAGCCCAACACATAACCACTACCCCAACAGTGCTCCTCTCTATCAGTCAACAGAGAGCTGCTATCCCAGGCCCCACCTAAGCTTCCTGGCTGTATCAGCTGCCGAGTAACTCTGTCTTCCCCAGGCCTACATTCATCCTGGATATATCATTGACTAGGTCCCCAGCAGAATACTCTGGACCCCAGCTCTGCATTTTCACCTCTCCCTATGCCACTTCCAGGACTAATATGATCATGAGCCCAGGTAATTAGCGGCTGCACCAGGATTAGAACCCAGATCTCCAGACTCCCAGACCAGGATTCTCTCCACAACCTCATATTTTCCCCCACTGAGTACCTTTTACCTCAGAGAAGTGTCTGGAGAAATTTAATAAGTAAGCTATTTTTCTTTCCACAGATCAAGGCCTGTGGCTGGAAGAGATGACCAGCTGTTCCCCATTGTAGTTTACATATTTCCCCCCTCTTCTTCCTTTAAGAACCACAACTGCTTAGAACAGTGGATCTCAACCTGTGGGGCGTGACCCCTTTGGGCGTCGAATGACCCTTTCACAGGAGTCGCCCAATTCTTACAGTTATGAAGTAGCAACGAAAATAATTTTATGGTTGGGGGTTCACCACAACATGGCATTAGGAAGGTTGAGACCCACTGGCTTAGAAGAACATGTCACCTGGTTGCTCATTATGCCCCACTACACTACTTCCACCTTCCAGGAACTTCTCGATAACTCAATATTTCAACACCTGGATGATTGCTTTCCTTTCCACCCAATTTCTGTCCTGATATTTGGTGACTTCAACCTATTAATGCAACTTCGATTTCCATTGTCCCCTCATCACTTTATGTGAATACTCTTACAAGTACCAGCTTCTCCCATGCTTTATTTACTATTGATGGGTAGCTGATGTCTACATCTCTTGCCAAACATCTCTTCTGAGCTACAAATCCTCATATACACCTGGCTACCTCCACATGGATAGTTCATGGAATCTTAAACTCAGCCAGTCTAAGTCTCAACTCATCATTGTCTCACAAACCTGATTCTTCCTTTCAAAATCTTGGTATGTGGAATCAATGCCTAGCTGGTCACCCACGCTAGAATTCTGAGAGTCATCAGATTCTTGTGCACCTCTCATGGGCCATGCATTCCATCGGTCACTATGTCCTATGTTGTGCCTGTGGTCCATGAGCCCAGAATTTCTGAGAGTCAAAGTGGTGGCTAAGAGGGTCGGCACTACAGTGAGCATGCATAGGCTCAAAATATAGCTTCCTGTTTATGCTGTATTGGAAAGCTAGTTATGCTTTCTGTGCTTCTATGTCCTCATCTCTAATGGAGCTATAATCATAGGGCTTAGTTTCTAAACTGTTGGCAGGATCAATTGACTGATAATACATGTCTGCTGGACACAGAGCGCTGTTGTGGTTGTCAGGAGCCAGTGAGTTGATTGTGACTCATAGCAGCCCCATGTGGGTCCCACATCACAAAGCAGAACTGCCCCATCAATGGTTGTGCCTCTCATCATTACAGAATCAAATCAACAAGTCTTCTTTCGGTCATCAGCTGGGTGGGCTTGAAACCGCTCACCTTTTGGTTAACGGGGCATGGGTGTTAACATTCTGAGGGAAGTTGGATCCCTCCCTCTCTTTTGGCTTTCATTCTCAGGCCTTTTTATGACCAGTATCTTTGTAACTCCAAGTTTTATTTGTCTTTGGGGTTGACACAAGAATGTTAACATAAGCAAATTACACACTACAATTTTGTGTGTAGTACATATTACACATGAGAAGATGCACACACATACCTACACAGACACAAAAGGTGTGTTGTAACTTGAATGAACTTAAGTTGGGGATTGCCTGCAGCTTGTTTTGAAAGGCTTTTACTCTATATGCAATGTGCTACAGTCTAGGTCTGCACTGTCCTATAGAGTAACCATTAGCCAAACATGGCTATTGAGCCTTGAAATATGACTAGCGCTACTTAAATGGATAATTTTGGACATATTGAGTTAAATAAAATATATTATTTAAAATATAATTATTAAAAGGAGTATCATCTGCTTCTTTTTACTTTCTAAAAAACTACCAAAGAAAACTTAAATTACCTATGTGGCTGGCATTCTATCTCTTTTGGACACGGTTGTTACGCATCTTACAAAATATGTCCGTTGTCATATTTCTTTCATTCTCTTTAGCCTGTGATTTATACAGTTTAACTCTGAATGATGGGAGGTGTCTAGAGAAAGCAAAGATAGGCGTATGTGTCCCATCTGTCATGTTAACTGGAATTCATAGCTAAGCTTGTCACAATCTAGCCCCTGCTTATCTCTGTGGCCTCGTCCCTTTGTGTCCTGTCACCAGTGATATGCCCAGGCAAAGTGAATCTCCATCGTTTTCTGAAGACACCAGGAAACTTCGAGTTTTGATGCCTTTGCCTTCTTTGTTTCCTTCTCCTTCCATACCTTTCTCCCCTCTCCCACCTGTCTGTCTAGTAACCTATTCATTCTTCAAAAAGGAACCCAAATTTCTCTTTGCCTAAGAAGCCTTTTCTGACTGCTCTTTCCATTAAGCTGGCAACTTCAGAGTTGAGACTATTTCCTGCGCTCTCACTTAGGTATTTCTCCATTCCATAAAGGGACCTATTTGGCTCACCAGACCCCTGTAGTGCTAAATTGAGGCACTGACTCATAGTAAAACTTGAACGAATATTAAATGAATTCAAAAAGTAGTCCATGATAAAGAACTGTGGGGTTGCAGAGAAAGGTGGGGAGAGGGAGGTCGGCTGAAAAGGTTTCATGGGGGTGGTATTTTAAAGCTGTTCATCAAGATGTTTTTGACGGGGGTGGGGTGGGGTGTGGGGAAGGATGAAGAATTCTTCAGGCTAACTAAGGAATGTGCCAGGGAAATAGCAAACGATCCAGTGTGGATGGAGCAATGGTTAGGGCCAGATTTTTGCAGGGCCTGGAGGTCATGGAAAGGAGTTTGACCCTTGCTCTGAGGATAATGAAGAATGGTTGAGGTCATTCCGCTGGAGTTTGGGGATTATTAGCCCTGGCGGCAGATGGTCTGAGTGGTGCGGGCGGAGGCTAGAAGACCAGGGAGTTCATGGCGGTAATCAGCATCAGGAACTGCATGGGGGTGATCTTGGGGTGGGCGTCGGGGTAGGGGGTGATGGACGCAGAGGATGAAGTGGGGATGGAGAGGACGACTTCCAGGGGTTGGCGGCAGAATGCACAGGGCAGATGGAGGTGGAGAGGGAGGGAGGAGGAGTTTCTAGCTGGTGCAAATTGGATGCCCAGGGACCACGTACGGTCCCGCTAACCGGGTGGGAGGAGCAGGTCGACCCCGACGCGCGCTGGAGCGCAGGCACCTTGTTCCTCGCGCGACGCCGTCGCGCCCCCCGCGGTGGGTCAGGGGGCAGCTGCGGGCACCGCGGTTCCGGTTCCGGTTCCGCTTCCGGCTCGAGTCTGGCCCCTCGCTGGGACGCCAGCGGCCATGGCGTTCTCCGCCGTGCAGAGGGTGGCCCTGGCCTCGGGGCTTATCCTGGCGGTTTCGCTGCTGCTGCCCAAGGCGTTCTTGTCGCGCGGAAAGCGGCCGGAGCCTGCTGCGCCCGAAGGTGAGAGCGCGCGGCCGGGCCGGGCCACCTGGAGGCGGGAACAGCGCCGTCGGAGCTGCCGGGCGGGGCCCCGGGAAGAAGGAAGGTCGCTTCTGCAGAAGGGGAGGCCCTGGGGTCTCTGGTCCCCCTCTAGGCACCCGCCCAAAGGGCGAGAAATGGCGGAGGAGACGGCGTCTGGGTGGTGCCAAGGCCCACGGGTTCCGCCTCTTCTGAGTATCCTCGTCCCCGGCCGTGTCCCGGAATCCCGACCCACGTTTCGCACAGACTCGTTTGCGTTTTGCCCTCCTCTGGTTGAAGCCACCTTGTTCGGCATCTCTTGGGTGCTTGGAGCCCGGAAGGCTCCCAGTGGGGGACCCCCTCTTCGAGCTTCCGTGAGATTTTACCCGCGCGTTGGTCTGAAGTCAAATCCGTTTGAATTGCTGTTGTTAACCTTAGTCCGTTGGGTACTTCGAGCGTGGTGTAGGGCGTTCACCGCTGCAGGCTCTTTTGGTAGCCTTTAAAATAGAACTCGAAGATTTCTGGTGCCCGCATTTTAATTACTGAGGTGGAGATGAACGAATTACTGTCTTCTTAAACATTATCCCTTAGCTAAGCCATTACTATTGGCATGATGTACGCGACATTTTAAAATCCATCCTTGCTGCAATGGGATGGGGGCGTTACAGGATGGGTGAGGATAAAGACATGGGTAGCAAAGACTCAGAGAAGGAACGAGAACAGTTCTAAGTTGTGCTGGTAACTTTCTCCTGTGAATGTGTCCTTGTGGCTACCTAGGGGCGTGGTTTTACTGCAGCTGATCTCCTCCCCGGACGTTCAGCCTGCTGGTTGCTGGACAGCTCCTTATGAGCCTCCACAGCCCTCTCTTTTGGGTTTGCTGGCTGCTTCATCCTCTTTCAAATACAGTACTACTAAAATTGCAAATTACTATGCTGTAGGGGTGGAGTAAAACTTGAACACAGAATTGTTTGCCGAGTTTGCGTATACTCTTTAAGCTTGTTAAACTATCAGCCTAGAAGAAACTTCCGAAACAATCTTTGCATGTATGGTTTTTGTTTTCCCCCTTATTACAAAATCCAAAAATCTTTACTGACGTTGTCAAATGATACTGCCTGTCTTGAAGAAGAGGAAATTAATCATGACCCTAAGCAATGAAGAGTCTTCTGAAAGTTTTTCTGAGGGAGCTAAATTCCCGTTAGGCTGAATTCTCTTGAACAAGTACTGTTGAATGTGAACGTAGAGTAACAGAGTGGGGATTAGACATGGCTCTTTCTCTTGAAAACTCAAGCCCTGGCATGCCATGTTCTTATCTTGGGATCTTTGCACTTTCTGTTCTATTTATTCCTGAAGTGCTCCGTCCTTCAGTTTCCTTCTGATCACAAGTTCTATTCAGAGGTAACATCCTCAGACTCTCCCAGCTAACTCCAACTCCAATAACCCTGTTTCCGCTTTGCAGCCATTATTAACCACTATATCATGTTGTGCTATTTTTCCCAGTGCATGGACTTTTCTTACTTGTGCATTCTTTATCTTCACTTTCTAGAATGTAAGCTCTCTGAGTACAGGGACTTGGCCTTTCTTTTTCACTACTATATCTCCAACGCTTGGTATGTAGTGCACAGTGGCCACTTTCGAAAGGAACCCTGGTGATGCAGTGGTTAAGCACTCAGCTTTTAACCAGCAGATTGGCCTGAGCCGGCAGGAAAAAGATGCAGCAGTCTGCTTCTGTACAGATTGACCGCCTTGGAAATTCGGCTCTGTGCTTTCGGGGTTGTGATGAGTCAGAGTTATTTTAAGACAATGGGTTTTTGTTACACACTTTTGAATGGATTAATTAAAATTATGAAGCTGCTAATATCCTTGTGCATTTTATTGTTGTGGACTACAAGTTATTGAAGTGGTATATGCTAAGCAAAAACCTGTCATAAGTGATAAATCACAGTAGCTGAAATTTGCTAACTTTTTTAAAGCAGTGAAGAAATCCTAACCATTTCTTGGTTACATGCCCAGTGCGGTTCTGATGGAAGCTATGGATTTGCTCTCACTAGAAAATGAACATACTATTTATTTGTGCCCCCAGAATTTGAGTATCACATGCAGGGATTTACGGAAACAGAAACCCCCGCTTTGAAGAAAAATACAGCCCTAATTCCTTGACATTTCTTAAAGTTTGTCTTAGTGTAGCTTCTTCTTCTGCCCAATGAAGTATGTACAACAAGCACAGCTTTTAAGATGGTCTTTTAACAAATAATCGTGATATGCCCCTTCACATAGTTTTTATAAAATATACAGACATTGTGGATATCAAGAAAAATGAACCAAATACCTTTCGTGAGGAACCCATAGGTGAGGAGAGAGTTTAATGCAGCGGTTCTCAACCTGTGGGTCATGACCCCTTTGGGGGACGAACAACCCTTTTACAGGGGTTGCCAGATTCATAACAGTGGCAAAATGACAGTTATGAAATAGCAATGAAAATAATTTTATGGTTGGGGGGGTCACCACAACATGAGGAACTGTATTAAAGGGTTGCAGCATTAGGAAGGCTGAGAATCACTGGTGTAATGGGATACTGTTCCTGATTACAGGAGCCCTGGTGGTGTAGTGGTTACAAGCTGGGCTGCTAACCGCAAGGTCGGCAGTTCAAAACCATTAGCCTCTTTGAGAGAAAGACCAGGCTTTCTGCTCCCATAAAGAGTTACAGTCTCAGAAACTGTCACACCACTTTTACTTTGTTAGCATTGTATGACAATTCCAGTGTTTCTACATTCTCACTGATACTTGTCCGTCCCTGCCTGGTTGTTGTGAAGTAGTATCTCCCTGTGTTTGGACAAGCATTTCACTGATGACTAACAACATCGAGCCACTCTTCATATGCTATTGGCATATGTTCTTTGAAAAATTATTTCATATTCTTTGTTCATTTTCATTGGATTATTAATCTTTTATTACTGTGTTGTCAGAGGTCTATACCTCTCTTCATACCAAGAAGTTGCTTTAAATTGGCATTTTTACTTGCTGACCTTAATGTGTCTAAGAAATCCTAAGCTTTTTTATAAAGGAGTCACATCTAGATTTCTCCATTTTCTACTGTTCAAATGATGTTCTGGAACAAAATATAGGACTTTTTGCTTCCATTTTGCATTTTACCTTTCTAAATTTAACTTATATTCCAACATCTTGATGGATGTGGCTGTCCACTTCTATAAAACTTACAGCTCTGGAAACCTAACAGCAGTTTTGCTCTGTCCTCTAGAATTGCTGTGATTCAGAATTGACTCTCTGGCAATGATTTGAATGACTAATGACCCTGAACTTTCCATATGCTTACTGGCCATTTGTATCTGACTTTTGAGAAATATCTATTTCTCAAGCCCTTTGCCCATTTTCTTTTAACAGTTTTATTGGCACTTCATCCACATGTCATACAATTCAATAATTCACTCATAGTACAATCATCACCACGATCAATTCTAACATTTTCTTCATCCTTGTATCCATTGTTATTCATGTAATGATTTTTTTTTAATTGTGGCAAAAATGCACACAGCAAAACATTCTCCAATTCAACAACTTCTACATGTAAAATTCAGTGCTGTTAATTATAGTCTTTGTAATTACCCTTTTGCCAATCATTACCCAATCATTACCCTTTTGCCAATCATTCCACCACCAGTCACATAAACCCAAAGCACACGTGGTAACCACTGGTCAAGTGTGGTTTCTTTTTGTTCCATAGTGCCCATTTTCTAATCCCCCTTTTCTTGTGTTATGTTATTTCATCGATAGTCCTTGTGGCAACTTGGAAACACATGTCATTATTACCCATTTTATAGATAAAGAGAATTAGCTCTAGCAAAGCCTGGTTTTCAAAGTGCTGATCTTTCTTTGTTCCCAACTTTCCCATTCCGATCACTAGTACTTTTCAACACGTCTTGATTGCACGTTTGATCAATTTCAAACTGCAGAAGTTAGTAGAAATCTTCATTTTCCTCATCTTTAGCATTAGTGATTGGTACATACATGAGAATAAGTTGTATTAACTGATCTTGTTGGGTTGTGGTTATTATCCTATTACTGGTAGTACTATACGTCAGGATAGATCTTGAAGTACTCTTTTTAGCGATGGATGTGACACCAGCCTTCTTCAATTTGTCGTTCCTGGCATAGTTGACCATGCTGTTGTCTGATTCAGAATGGTCAATACTAGTCCATTTCAGCTGACCAGTGTCATTTATGTTACCAGTCTTTTGGCATTCTGTTTCATATTTGAAGACTTCCCATTTTCTTTTTTTTTTGTTTGTTTAACATTTTATTAGGGGCTCATACAACTGTTATCCCAATCCATACACACATCAATTGTGTAAAGCGCTTTTGTACATCGTTTCTCAAAACATTTTCTCTCCATTTAAACCCCCGACATTAGGTCCTCATTTTTCCCCTCCCTCCCCGCTCCCCCCTCCCGCATGAGCCCTTGATAGTTTATAAATGGGTATTTTGTCATATCTTGCCCTATCCGACTTCTCCCTTCATCCACTTTTCGGTTGTCTGTCCCCCAGGGAGGAGGTCACACACCGTTCCATGTAATTGGTTCCCTCTTTCCTACCCATTCTCCCTTTACCCTCCCTGTTTTGCCACTCACATCACTGGTCCTATAGGGCTCATCCATCCTGGATTCCCTAAAGACTTCCCATTTTCTTACACTCAGACTTCCTATAGTCCACAGTCCAATTATTAAAGGATATTTTCAGCTGTTTCTTTTCATTATAAGCATGTCACATCAACAAATGAAGCAACTTAAACACACAGTTATCTCTTATTGAAATACAATGTGAATTGGGAATGGAGAAGCGGATAAAAAATAAACTAGCAGAAAGCATCCATGCAATGGACAGCCACGTAGAAGCAGGTGGAAGAGAGTGCTACAGGTTGGAGCTCTAGGAGCCTGAAGAAAAAACAGTCAGAGCTGTTTTCCTAATCTGTACTTGAAGCAGTGCAAGTAC